AAAAGCCCCATTTCTCAAACCAATGTGGATTGGGGTGGGAATTCCCCGACTTTTCCAGGCTCGCCAAAAACCCTGTATTTCCCCAGTTTTCCCTGGTTGGTAGACACCCAGGTAGCCACTCCTCAGATGGTGAGTTTCTTGTAAAGCAACGCCGAAGTTTAGGTTGCAAATATTGTTTTCTAATCTTGAGCCCTAGAGTCTCAACATTTGGAAAAGTTCAAAATCTAGGCGCCCATTGAAGTCAGAAACAAACTGAGCAGAGGTAGGAGCTCTTCTGAGCTAGTGCTGTAACGGCCGGAACTGCAATAAAGGAGTCAACTTTTCGAGCAGAAAAAAAACTGCATCCAAGAGCAGGGTGGGTGAAACTTGCGAGCTTCAAAGCTTCATCTATTTAATATGTTTCGAGCGGACAAATTTTCTGGAGTTAGAAGTGAAAAAGTAAGCTGCCCAGAAAGTGGCTAATGAGAAAGGGCTGGAGTTTTAAAGCACAGATGCGAATTTGAAATTTCTTTGCTAAATTGAGTTTGGCAAAAAAAAGGCAACAAGTAAGAACAACTGACAGGTCGAAGTCCAGTTTTGCCGTTTGCTTCTGCAACTGAAAATGCTCAAAATGCCAGATCTTTACGTTGTTCCTACCAAAGCAAAGAAGACAGGCAGCGCCCAGACTAAATGAAAAAAACAAAGCTGGATAGAGAATCGCACTTCTTTGCTGCATAATGCGTAGAAGAAGCAAAAAGCAAAAATAAGACGGACATTTCTTTTCTCTAGTCCCCGCAAGCACAGTTCGGCTGCACAGGAGAGGACCGGAGTTAATGACTTTGCAAGGGTGTGTGCGCGTCTTGAGCTTGGGTTAGGCTCGGTCATGCCCCTGTCGGGCAACGTCCTAAGAAATATGTTGCGGAAAGCGTCCAAGCATTCTGAAATCTCACAAAAGTTTGGAAGAGAGCCTTCAATGGTTCTGAATCCTCCTACATTAAATAATTACAAAAAACTCGGAAAGTCCCTGGGCAAAAAGGAATACTGTCAACAACTCAATGTTTTCAAATTTCGTGACTCGAATGTTAAAGTGGTCCTGCAATCATATTTAAGCGTCTATCTTTTTTGCGGTTTCCGGCCAAGCCAGTGGGCACGAAGAGAGTAACTAAATATTGGTGCGTCATATTTTACTCGACGACGCAAAAACCTTTCCGACAGCCGAAAGCGCGCGATATGTGAAGTCTTTGGTCTTGGGCTTATACAGTTCAGAGCCGCTAAAAGCTTGTTTTAGTCGAAATACAAAATATAAATGGCGCAGAAAGTTTCAATTATATATGGAAGTAGTTTTTGTTCAGTATTTTAGATCAGAAAAGAAACACATTCAGTTTATAAAGTATGGAAACAAGAAATGACCCATTGACATACACGCCACCAAGCAATGGAACAGGTGGCGCATACTAGAAGGGGGTGGCACCGACGAGTGATGAGCGTAGAAGGGTCCCATATGTATGCGGCGGCGCTGCGATCCTATAAGGGCTTGAGGATCCAACCAGTTCCGAAGGCCTTCGGCAAGCAGGTTTGGCTTGCAGTTTGGCTATTTGGCGGTATGGCAGTGCAAAGTGGCTACCGTTCTGAACTGATCTTTACCCTGTGTTGGCTGTCGTTTGTGGCTAATGGAGTGTCATGCCGAACTAGTGTCTAATCACGCAGCAAATGCAATGCGGGCCGCCCTGGCTGCCCGCTTCATACAGCCCATCCAGAACATGCTTTAGTGGCGCCTCTTGAGCCGTGGACGCAGAGTGCGGCAGCCGTGAGCGCTCACTGAGCTCACTACCCCTCCTGTAGTTCACGGCCACTCAAGCGACCAAGGATGTCATGAAGAAGGTTATTTTTAGCTTGTTTTTGTCATTTTAATCTGCCTATAACTTTTAAGATAAAGTGAAATTCGAGAAAAGAAAAGTTTCATAAAGTTACTACAATCAGTGCGCTCAGGTTCGGTGCAAATTAAAAACCAGTAAAAAAAGTCCTTGCAGGGCCCCTTTAAGAAAAGATTAGCACATGAACATAAGCCCCCATAGCAAGCGAATACACAGCATACACCTCTCAATCGCGAAGTTGTTCATCTGCAAAACATTCCCAAAATAGCTTTCCATACATCCGCTAATGGGCTGTTGTACGAGACAAAGCAGATTGTGTGCCCCTGCGGTCAGTCTCACCATGCATGTCACTTGCATTGCAAGCGACAGCGACTGGTGCGACATCACTACGTTTTCACAAATCTTTGCCTCTCGGTCATGCAGTTCTGCCAATGATGGGTACACATTTCTGTCGATTACTTCCATCAAGCTCCATTCAGCACCATTAATATGAATGTCGTGCTCTCGGACACAACCCTCGCATCACTCGTGCCTGCACCTACTCTGCCAGCCCAAGTTTGCAGTGGTATTTGGAGAGGTGCAGCACCACACATTGTGCATCTTCAACCATGATGTTAAACTTGTTCTTCCCTTAGTGGTCTTTGGCTCACGCTACAATGCTGACAAGGTCATTCATCCTTACAAGGAGCCTAAAGCGCACTCTTAGAAGGCAACTGTACCCTGTTTCACCCTATGATGGTCTATAGCAGATGGTATACAAGCCATCCTAGTCAATCCAGGGGTGTGAAACTATTACGTGACTATCCATGTTTGGAAGTACAGCCTCAGGACACCGCCATCTTGCTCATTTGCCTTGTTGAAGCGTTGTAATTGGATTATGACGCGCCCAAGCACACTCCAAGTGAGGAAGATGGCAGCGCCCTGAGGCCATACTTGCAAACAAGTGTATGCATTGAAAAACTTCTCCTGAAGGTCATGTGAGATTCGCACAACAATGAATTGGCTCTGATGGCTCCTAGCGTCCTTTGCCATCCAAACAGTATGGTGCCGGATGCCACTCCCTTTTTGGCATCGTTGGAAGCATTTAGCGTTTCCGCTATGGTACGGCTAGAGAAACTAAATGAGCTGCGCTTAGAGCATCGGCACTTCGTACCCGGGCATTGTTGTGGATTTGCCATTTTGGCTCATATGCAGAGCAGACACTACTGCCGATCGTCATGATTCAAAAAAGTGTGACTTCCTCAGCATTAGATTTCGTGTTGGGAAGGTCACGCAATATTACTTTGCTCTGTCACAAACTGTTTAAACATTTGTGGAGGGCGGAAAAGCGTTTTCTGTTATTTCAGATAAAGCTTCAGATAACCGGCAACCATGATTTTAAAACACAATATGGCCAAGTGTCGTTACTCTGAAGCGTAGCTTATTTAGTGGACTAGGTACGGCCACTGTTCGATATGCATTAGCAGATTGCAAAGCCCTTATGAGCCTCCCATTATTGGAGGAAGATGTACAGGTAGCTGGGCTTAAACCCTCCTCACTCCCTGCAAAAGTGATGGCAACCTGTCCCCACTTTTTTTAGCACCTGGTGGTCAGGCCACACATGAACACTCGGAGTGCCAACCTTACGACGCTGTCAGTTAACGTCTTGTTAATTGCGCAGACTTTCAGAGGGCGTTTGGCCAAACGCCAATTGAAATGCCCCTGTGGCAAGATTATCTGGCATCTCAATGCTGTCCTTCCAGACTGCCCTGGGGTACCACAGCTTCAGTCCCATGATGTGTTCTACCCACACAAGGAAGAGTAGCAGTTCTGTTTTTGTATCTCAAAGCTCCATTTCTAGACCTGAAACCCATTGACAGGGGGTCTCTTGAAACAGCAGTGGTTGTCCGCTACCGTTCAGTGAATTTTACGTCAGAGAAGAGCTGTCTCTCTACAATGCATGTCTTCTGTGGAGTAACTGTGCAGATTCTCAAAACAAAAAACCCGAGTGATAAAGTTACTAGGATTACTAGGAAAGGTTTAGCCAGGAGGTGCCGAGCGAGACACCTTCGTCTATCTGCACCGAAACCCTTGTGGATTTCGAGTTGAATGTGCCTCATCTTCCGTAGGTCACGGACGGAACTTCAAAAAGGTATAACGAAACACGTTGGGCTAGTTGATGCACCATGCTCTTGTAAGCACAAACAGCGACGAACACGGATAAGTGCTCCGAGTCCCTTCGTCGCGTCCGTCGTCGTTTGGGGCTCACAAGTTTCCCGAGAAGCCCCACAAAGCAGCGCTCCAAGCAGTTTGACCCACAGGCACCATAAACGTAACGCCAACAGGCCGCTTTTAAAACTCTGGCTTACAACTGAGTTCACGGTCAGAGACGGTGCGTGCAGACAATAAAAAAAAAAAGCGCGCAGAATCCCGTAGCTTCCGAGTTCTGAGCAGGCGCAGCCTTCGAAGCTCGGGGCAGTCACCGGCCGCGGGCCCAGCGGCGGCAAACCGAGAGCAAGTGAAAAGGCTCGCCGATAGCGCTCGAGGGAAACCAGTCTGGCCCTGCTTTCTTTCCGCCTTACTGAAATAGAAAGTGTGCCGTGACACACAAACGCCGCACCGACACGTATCGCAGTAGGGCATTCCGCAAAAGCGTGGACGTTTTGTCGCGGCACGGCCGCCAATGCGACGGAGATGGGGCAGAAATATTTTTGAGACGGCCGTTGACGACGCGTTGCGAAACGCCCCAACAAGGCCACACATTCCGCGAACCACGGCCGCCGGGGCTCCGCTCCCGTGCAGCGCGTGTCCCGAACCAACCGAGCTCGGCGCAGCCTGCCGGCTCCGGGCGAAACTCGGGGTAGGCATCGAACGAGGATCGGCACATTCCTAGCGGGGCACTCCCGCCGAGAACCACCCAGATAAAAGCGGATGTCCGACATTTACCATACGTGGGCGACGTCGACGGCTCCGCCCGTCCCGAGACTCCGTACTCCCCAACCCAGCCTTGCGATCCCCGAGCGTGGGTTCGGCTTCGGGGTTACGGGTTCGGCGGCCAAAAAGGACGACGCTCGTCGCGTTCATCGACAGCTGCGGGCCGACCAGCGATTAGGCCTAACGGCTGCCGGCGGCGCTAGCCCCGCGGCCCGCAGTTGGGCGTACACGTACCTTTATGATCAGCTCGATTTCGGGTATGTCCTGGATCTCGTTAATCTCGTCGTGGTGGTTGTTGTCGTCGGCCATCGTTCAGCGGTTCTGTCGAGCCGAGGGCTGCGTTATCCGGAAAGCTGGCGCACGCTCGCGTATCAACACCGCCCAAAAGCCGTACACAACACCGCACCCCGCTTCTGACCCGCTCTTCCAGCAGCAGCAGGCGGACGCACGGGGAAACGCACACACAGCTATCCGAGGCGCGGAAAAGCCTTGCGCGCATGCGTGGCCAACGAGTCCACGCATGCGCCTTGCGGCCTGCCGCGGTGTGAGCGGAAGTGGTGGCCGAGCTAGTGCGCGGCTCTGCCAACGCGCTCAGTTTCCGTTCGACATCCTATGGCGTGACGATAGGGAGCGCTACGAACAGAGAGCGCTCAGTTTCTGCAAGAGCTTTCTCAAGGGATTATTATCATCATTCTTGTCCAGCACGCTTGCACCTTCGCATTAATTGTGGAAATCATTAGTCTCCTCACGAGGGTATCCGCGCGCCCAACAGCCCGCAGTGGACTAGCGTCGCTCACTGGCGAAACAACGCAACGGTTGAAAGTTCCTCTGCTGCGATGGGCAGCAACCGTGCTTTGCGGTAAATAGCACGAACAAGGCAACCAAAATATTGTCTGATTTTTTTTTTTTTTTTTTATTGGGAAAAGTATGCGCTCCACAGCAGTAGTTGAGGTGGGCTACGTCACGGTGCTTTGCAGTATCGTGCACTTTCCTCTAAAAAAGCAACGCAGACTTCTCAACCTTGGAAAGAGTTCCCGTTTCCAGGGTTGGAAAGGAACGCGTTCTCGTTACACTTCTAAGATTGAAACGTGCATCTACATTTACGTTACGTTTGCATATCTTAATGAAATGTTGTGCTTGACATTCGGTAGCGAGCGAGTGAAAATATCCTCATCAAACTACGTGTCGAATCGCCGCGGTCACATTTATTCCAGTTGTTTGTTTGTCTTGAAATCGTGCGGTTGAAATAGTTGAAAATAAAAAGCCCAAAATGCCTACTAAAGTCGGGTAAAATTCCAAATAAATAGACGAAAAAAAGAAAAGCAACTTCGTTTGTCTTGCAGTTTTTTTCGAAAACGCAATGACTTCTTGTTCCACCTCATCGTTGTTCCACCTTCACCAATGAAGATGGATCGGCAGTTGGTACAGTTTCGAGAGTAGCAATAGGCCATGGATGGGTGGATGGATGAATACGGCTGAGCCCTTTGGATCGGGCGGTAGCTTGCGCCACCTAGCCATTTTGTTTTATCATTTCAGCTTAGAATATTTAAATGTGAAATCTATATTCACTCCGCACTGCAAAGAAACTGAGGCGGTGAAACCCCCTTGCCATCAGTGAATAAGAAAGTACCTAGTTTTATCTCGATTTCTGCCACCATTCACTTAATCTTCGCTTGGTAATCTCTACAGTCTTGAAATCCACTCTCCCTTCGCTGTCTCTAAAACCCAATGACTTTATTAAATATGTGTTGTCTTCGGTAGGCATAGGGTGAAGCCCTTTACAGTAGAGTATCAAGTGCTCAGCCGTCTCGTCCTCCTCTCCACAAGCAGTGCACACTGTATCCATTTCCTGGTACTTCACTCTGTATGTTCTGGTTCGCAGAACACCCGTCCTCGCCTCAAACAACGAGCTTCCCCTAGAATTGTCATAAATGCTTTCTTTGGCAATAACTGTTTTGTTTAATCTATAACTTTCCAGAGCCGTCTTTGTCTGCATTCCCTCTAGCCACCGATCTCTTTCTGTGGCCTTAACTTTCTTCTTAACAGAGACTTGCTCTTCCGTATCTTCTCTATAGCCCAAAAACTTTCCTCTTAATTTCCTAGTGCGCTGTCTCCACTTTGTGTCTACACTCCTCATGTATAAATAGCTGAAAAAATTTCGTGCCCATTGCTCTCCATTCATTTGCCTCAACCTATCCTCAACTTCTATCTTGCTGACCGCTTCTCTGCTTTCAAATGACGCCCATCCCATGTCTCCTTGTACTCCCTGGTTTGGCGTTTTGCAATGTGCCCCCAAAGCCAGTCTACCTACCCCGCGCTGTTTTATTTCTAGTCTCGCATGCACTTCAGATTTCATGCATAGCACTGCGTTTCCAAAAGTCAAGCCAGGCACCATGACCCCTTTCGAAATCTCTCTCACCATCTCATACCTGTTGTAATTCCAAAGTGCTCTATACTTCATTACAGCTGCATTTCTGTTGCCCTTACCTATTATATACTTTTCATGCTCACTGAGATATTCTGCACGATCACATATCCATACTCCTAGATACTTGTATTTACTGGCTCTCTCAACTGTAATATTCTGTATCTTCAGCCTCTCAACTTCATCCTCGTTAAAAATCATGACTGCTGATTTTTCGCTATTAAATTCTAAACCTAATTTCTCTCCTTCCCTACCACAGATGCTCATTAATTCCTGCAACTCTGTCCTGTTGTTAGCCATTAGTACGATATCATCCGCATACATCGATCCCGGTAAGGATTGCTGAATTTTTTTGGCCTAGCTTACTGTAAGAAAGGTTGAATCCAAGCCCACTCTTCTCTAGTCTATCCTCCAATCCTCTTATATACAACATAAACAGCAAAGGCGATAACAGGCACCCCTTCCTAAGGCCTCGTCTTATCTCTATTTTCCCTGTCGCCTTTCCTTCCCATGCTATAATCACCTTGTTATCTTTGTAAATGTTCTTTAATAGTGCTGTTAGTCCTTCATCTAGGTTTAAGCTCTCCATTATGTCCCATAGGTTCCTTTGGTTCACATTGTCATAGGCACCCTTGATATCCAGAAATGCCAGCCAGAGCTGCCTGTTTTCTTTTTGCGCTATTTCTATACACTGTGTCAGAGAAAATAAATTGTCCTCCAACCTTCTTTGTTTCCGAAACCCGTTCTGTAACTCGCCCAGTATGCCCTCGCAATCTACCCATTCCTCCAGTCTGTTCTTTATAATCTGCATTACCAACCTGTAAACAACCGGTGTCACGGTTATGGGACGATAATTCCTAACATCAGACTTATCTCCCTTCCCTTATATATCATACTCATCCTGCTAAGCCTCCATTCATCTAGAATATTTCCTTTTGTTATCATGGTACCCACTACCTCCCTTAGTTTTGCCTTAGATTTAGGACCCAAATTCTTCACCAGCTTGATTGGGGTACCATCTGTGCCTGTCGACGTGCCACTAGGGACTCTTCGTTCCGCCTTTTCCCATTCTCTTTGTCCAAAATCCGCGATGTCACAAACTGGACTGCTACTTCCTTTGTTTCTCCTATCTTCCACATGTACCCGTCCCCGAAATTTCTCCTCCATCACTGCTCCTATATATTGTATCGCATTATCTCCCTCTAATTGATCTCTCTGATGCGAGAGTATGAACCTCTGTCTAGCTTGAGTCGTTTCACCGAGTGAGTTCAAGTGCTCCCAAAACTTCTTGGCAGCGTTTCTATCTTTCTTACTTACATTACTCATCCATTCCTCACCCTTAATTTCTCTGAATTTTCGCATTGATCAAACTGGATGCCTCTCGGCGACGTGTTATAAAATTGTCCCATTTTCTTTTTACTTCCGTTTCGGACTCCCCACTACGCTTGGAATACCTGTGTTCTCTAGAGGCTTCCTGACGTTTTTGTATCGCTTGCTTCACTTCTTTGTCCCACCGGCTTTTTGGTCTATGTCCTTGCTTCCTTTTTTGTTTACTCTGAACTTTGTCTAGTTCCAGAGCAAAAAGACTAGTTAGGCTCTCATAGGTCCAATCTGTACACCGTTGCCCTGAAACTGCTGCCTCTATTCTTTCAACAACTATTTCCAACTCTCTGTCGCTGCAGAAAGTTTGCTTTGAATTATGTTGTCTAATTTCAGCATTTACTTCTCTGGCAAAATTCAGCTCCATACGTTTGTGATCGCTACCAAGACTTTTGGAACCTTCTTCATCTATTTTCATTACTTGTAACTTACCATATATTTTGTGTGACATGAGTACGTAATCTATAGTTGAATGTAGATTGCCAGTTTCCCAAGTTATGTGCCCGTCACACTTCTGACTGGTATTACATAAAACTGACTCATGTTTTTCCACCAGTTCCAATAATATGCTTCCAGTTGAGTCCGTATACCCATCCAGACCCTCAATATGGGCATTCATGTCTCCCATAATAATTATTTCGGAGCCTTCCCCTAGTTCACTAATGTCTCTTGATCTGCAATCAATCATTTTTCTGTTTTCCTCTTTAGCACCTGTCCCTGTCCATAAGTAAACAACTCCAAGGACTGTTGATTCCCCAGCGACTTTTGCTTTCAGCCACAAATGTTCGGCGCACTCCTTTCTGATCCTTTGAAAGTTCATATTCTTCTTAGTAAATGCTCCAATTCCACGTCCCTTCCTCGTTCCCTCCATTCTGTTGCATTCTTCCCACACATAGTCAGGGTTGCAAGGTGGCTGCTCCATGTCTCTGAGATGTGTTTCCACAAACCCATACACCATTAAATCCTCCTTTCTTAGTTGCTCCTCTACCTCTTCCCATTTTAACCTATTTCTACCACCCTGCATGTTAATATATCCAATGTCTGATTGTTTATACCTGTTCTTACGTTTTCTCCTCTTTTTAACCCTGGGTGCCTCTCCTGACTTTGTTGGGTTTTCAGTTACTTCAGTGCCCCCAGGGCCCTCGGTCTCCTCAAAAAAGCAGTCACCGTGCGGCCCATCCTATCCCCCACCCTGTAACCCGTGGCCTCACTGTAGTGAATGCCATCTGCAAAAGGGCGGGAGCCAGCCACGTACACTTCCCTGTTTACTTAAATTACGTCGTACCGAAGCTGTCGACTCATACCCTTAATTAACCTGTTGGCTTCGACAACCCTCCTCTCCGTTGCCCCGGACTGCCCCCAAACTTCTGGAATGGTGCACACAACCACGTGCACATTCTCAGACACGTCCCTCAGCTTACGCATTCCCACGTTTAGCTGCTTTCCAAGGTTCTGGCTCCTACCCTTGAGCACATCATTAAGCCTCGCATGAACTATTACTAGGTTTGTTTCCTCCCGGTTATCCCACACCCCCTCACGTGCTGCGGTCATAGCATCCGTACCATACACTTCCCTGGCTGGACCTCTACGGTTACCCTCTGGTCTCCCTTCACCCTGTTATGTACACCCCTCCTAACCCGTGCTACGTTAGATCTCCCCACTACCAGTACCCTAGATCCCCCTGGTACCTGCGCGCCTTTGTCCTGCGACTTATCTCCTGTCACCTGACTGTCACCTGTCACCATATGCGAAATGTAGAGTGCCATCTAGTAGCGC